ACAGTTTTTTGTGTGCTGATAACAAAAAATCACCTCCATTTCGACTCCAGACTTATTTTTTCATCCCAAATTAGGTCATTTTGGCCCAAAAATTTTCAAATAAATTTTTTTTATTTTTCCTGTAGTTTTTGGTGCGCTGAACTAAAAAATGACTTCCAAATTTTTCCAGACTCACGCATTACCGAATTTGGACCAATTTTGGCCCAAAAATTTTGGAATCGAGTTTGACGTTGATCCCAACAGTTTTTTGTGTGCTGATAACAAAAATCACTCCCATTTATACCCCAGACCTACATTTCACTCAATATGAGCCCACAAGCTGCAGTCCGAAGTGCACAAATTCGCATCGCTCAGCCACACTACGCGCCCACACAAAACGGCGCGTACCCCTAGTCAAAATTCACCTGAAATTAATTTTGTTCGTACTCTGAAATTCTCTGAAATTCACTGTGATTACCCCTCGTTTAACATGACGGCCTTGTTGTAGTGCTCGGCAAACTGCCCCCCATCGAGAGCCCCCTGCTGGAGAGGATGGTCCCGCGCAGCGTCATCCCCACCGACTTCGCCAAGAAGGCCCTCGGCATCGACCCCGCCGCCTACTCGCACACCTTCACGGAGGCGGCCGACGACTTCAGGCAGCAGCTGTTCAACATGTCGGCGTACGACACCAACTGCAAGCTCATCTGTCGATGGCAGATGGTACGTTGGTACACTGTAAATATCTTACGGTTAAAGGCTACACTAACATATGATCCAGGAAGCGGAAGAAGGGGATAACTCAGTTTTGGCCATTTTTCAGGAGAAACAAAAAACTGTTAGCAGGGAAAAGTAAAACAAAACAAACGAATGTTGCCAATGTTAATAATTTCAAAAAGCATTAGAAAAATTTTTGGGAAAAAAATCAAAAGTGTAAGGTCACTCCGTAGAGCATTTCTGCGACTTGTCACTTTCCGTTGAAAGGGAAAAACAGAGTCAGCTCCCCTTTATATTTCCTAAACAAAGGGGAATTTGGAGACAAGTCAAGTGGAACAATAGTTGCATAAAGTGTATGTTACTCTGGTGTATTTTTTGGACTTAGCTCTTTTTTCCGAATTGAAATTTAAAATTAAGGGGGGGTTAAGTTGAGTTGATTCTTTTTACACTAGATTCATAAAAACACAAGTTGAGTTATATCCTTTTGCCAATTTGTCAAACGGACTCATGTAGACTTAGGTTGAGTTAGGTTGAGTTATCTCCATTTTCCAATGAAATTTAGACTGTAAAAGGGGTTAAGTTGAGTTATACCCTTTTTCCAAGTGGATTTTCTCCTAAACTGCTTGAAATTCAGTCAAATAATTTGGGTAATGATGTAAACCATTCTAAGGCACAATAATAAAATAAAAACTCAATTTGGGGATAAGTCAAGTTATTCCCTTCTTTCGCTTCCTGGATCATATTATGGTGGAGATTTTCTCCATATCGAGGGTCCCTATTCAAAAGATCTTATCTGGGCGCTCCTATTCAAAGAATCTTATCTGACGCACGCTAATTTCACTAAGTTTGACCATTTGGGACGGATTAGAGGGTAAGCGGAACATATTTCTACACGTACTAATAATTTCTTCGATCTTTCATCTTCTCCAAGTTTGTGTGACTACAATCCCAAATTATTTTGATTTATAGCTGCCTCAAATGATAACCTTTGGTGAAATTCGCTTGCTTTGTAGATAAGATACTTTGAATAAGATCTTTTGAATAGGATCCCTCCATATTACACAAGAAATTCGACAAAATATCTGTGAGGTACAATGAATTTTGAACTGAAAGTTACGAAGTCAGCTGCACCACCATAATATGGAGAATTTTCATCATAATATGGAGAATTTTTACTATAATATAGAGAATTTTCATCATAATTGGCTGAGCGATAGCGAAGCCCTTGCCGTGTTTGGGCGCGCTGAAAAGTGACTGGTCGTGAGTCTGTCTGTCTGTCTGTCTGTGTGTTTGTACTCACCAACGATTCTCAGCAACTACAGTGGCTATAGTTTCAAGATTTCGTATTTAACGTCGCCTTAGTACTCCCCAACACGAGTTAGTTTCAAATCGTTGTTTAGTATCGTTTGAATATTCAAAACATACTTTTGAATCAGGTTATTACCATGGTTAGGTTGGCAGCACTCAGCACCCACGAATTTCTCATACCTGCGGCCGCGGCTCTCAAATACGGGACAGAAGCAAATAAGCAAATAAAACAAAATAACGAGCAGGGGGGTTTGGAAATGAGATCGGCCATATTTTTTTCCACATTCTAGAATGTTTAAAAACCCTTTTAGAGTATCAACACAGCGAAATATGGAGAATGGCAGTGAAAATGATTTACGTGTTTCGTTCCCCTCTCCCCCCTCCCCCTTTCGAGGGGAATCTTCTTCAGGTCAGTGCACTTTGACAGAGCATTTAAAAAGAATTTTTTTTATTTTGACCTTTTGTATTGTGGGCATCTACTTGTTTCATTTTCTATAGTGTCATCCTTTTTTTTAAAATTTTTCATAGTAGAGGAAATCGGGGAAAATGCATAAATAACTTGTGTTGAAATTAGCAGGCATACTTAGTTTGGACTCGAAAAATACATTCTATTGCAATGCTGCAAGCTGACAAGAGTGAAAAAGTACTAAACATGTTTTATTAATAGAATCAATGTAGGGTTTGTGTATTTTTAATCCTAATAGAGTTTGAATTGATATTGGGTTCAAAGAGACGACTCAGGTTTTGAGCGGTGAGTGAATTATGAATGGATTTAATGAGACGATTCCTTTCACTTCACTGAAGTTAATATAAATGGTACTACTCAGTATTGCATACCTGAGTAAGATAAATTGTGTCGGTTCATTAAGCCTTGGGTAGCCTTGGCATTGGACTCTATATGACGAATCACTGGATTTGACAATAATTGGTCCCCGTTAACTGGTTCAGATCAGCCTACCCTAAACTGACTCTCTTAATATTAACTGTGATAACGTATGCCAATCAATATTGTTTTATTCACTGGTTCACAATGAAAGAATGACAAAATGTTTCATAGATATTACTTATAAAATTGAGAATTCATTAGTTAAGAAAAAAAAGATATCGAATAGTGACCCAATCATACGAATAACCAATTAAGCGATTTAAAGCTGGCAATTGAATGTTACTCGACTGAGGGATTCACATTGGTGTGGCATCAGGGAATTGGTGATGACAGAGGGTGCTTCATGAAGACAGTGTAGGGAAAGTACAGAAATTGAGTCTAGATAGTTGTTTGTAGATTTCAGGTACTGGGCACAAAAGCTACATTTATTTCAATGCCAAACCTACACTTTCACCAGAGCTACGCAATTTGGGGCGAAACTTTTAATTTGAGAGTCATGCGTTTCCCTGCAGTTTTCAGTGCGCTGACTTCAATATTGACTTCAAATAGTCCCCAACCCAAAATTTAACCGATTTTGGGTCAAATTTTTTTAAAATTTAATTGCACATTGATTCTTGCAGTTTTTTGAGTGCTGATAGCAAAAATCACTTCCATTTTGACATCAGACTTATATTTTCATCCGAAACGAGGTCATTTTTGGGCCAAAATTTTCAAGTACTTTTTTTTGGATTTTTTTTGTGCTGAACTCAAAAAAGATTCCAAAATTTTTCCCGACTCCACTTACCCGTTTTGACCTTTTGGACCAAAATTTTTTTAAAACGAGTTTGACATTGATCCCACAGTTTTTTTGGGGTGCTGATAACCCAAAATCACTCTCATTTCGACTCCCGACTTATATTTTCTCCCAAATTTGGTCATTTTTGGGCCAAAAATTTTTAAGTCGATTTTATATTGTTTCCTGCAGTTTTTGGTGTGCTGAAATCAAAAATGACCTTCAAACTTTTCCCAGACCACATTTAAAATTTTTTCCCAAATTTTTACCAAAAATTTTTTAAAACGAGTTTGGCATTGATCCCAGCAGTTTTTGGTGTTCTGATAACGAAAATCACTTCCATTTGTACCCCTGGTCTAAAGTTCACTCATTATGAGTCCTTAAGATGCACATGTCGTCTTCTCAAGCGAAGTGCACAAACCATGTCAATTCGCATCGCTCAGCCACACTACGCGCCCAGACTAAACGGCGCGTACCCCTAGTATATATGGAGAAGTTTCACCCCAATATGGAGAATTATCACCATAATATGGAGAATCTTCACCATAAGACTTTTAGAGTGTAAAGTCGGGGACCGGCCTGAGTGCAAGGCACCGGAGGGGTCACATATTTTTGCAGACGTCCCATAACATCTCTGTGTGATGCAGTACTTCTCAGGCATGATGATCAAGGCGGACTCTGCCCGAGCCATCCGCATGCACGCCAGGGAGGGCAAGGCACCCGTTTACGCCTACAGCTACGACTTCCCCATCAACGGCAGATGTGAGTAACTTACTATGGCGATCAGGCTTGGACACTACAAATCTAACCCTCTTCTATGTACACCCTTACAAACGCCTATTCTTACACACCAGATAGCTTATGACCATTTTTGTTACCACTTACCTTACTATTAAGGGGGAAACTGTTCCATACGCTACCAATAAGCTACCATCGATCATGGACAAATTTGTCCACAATTTTGTGTCTGCAGTAGGCTCTAAATAATTGTTCGAAAATATGGACAAATTTGCCCGTAACGATGTCCATAATAAAAAGTCCATAAAAACGTCTTGACAGGCCCGCTCCACGCCACGGAGGACAGGAAGCTGTGGCCGGAAGACGAGGCCGACGTACTGCCGCTCAACACGACACACCCCGTCTCCCTGAACATCCTCAGGCAGGTGACTCTCTTCAGCAACTTCGTCAAGTTCGGGTGAGTCGACTCTAAGTGTCCCGCAAATCCGAGTGTGAGTCAGTCTCATACACGTAGGCGTGTTCACGCCCTCAACGGTGCCCACGTAGATCCCAGCCTTGCAAGTGAGGGAATCGCAATTGTCGGACCCGCGCTGCGCTGTCGGCCAGAAGATCTGTGGAGGCGGCCACGCGTTTAGAGCTCCAGAGACACTAAATGGGACTCAACGTACGTGTGACCCCGCACCAATGAATAACGGGGAAATCCATTCGTGGCGTCTCACGGTCGGTTCGAGTCACATTTAGCGACTCTGGAGCTCTAAAAGCGTCTGGAGTTCTGGCCGCCTCCACCGGTCTTCTGGCCCACTGTGGACCGTGTCCCACACGTGTGTGTGTGTGTGTGTGTGTGTGTGTGTGTGTGTGTGTGTGTGGGAAGGGGGGGGCTACAAGTTTGGAACTGCCTCTAAATTGAATTTGCAGTGTGTTTGTAGTGATTTGCATAAGGGTGCAGCAGCCCTTTCGGAATTGTTTGTGTATTGTTATTCCCGTGTGGTTGCCTCCGCAGCAAGCCAGTGCCGCAGACGGACGACACGGTCCTGCCGGTGGAGTGGACGCCGATGGGCGAGGGCCGGCCGGGCCAGCCGGACGAGTTCCTGCGCATCGACGCCAACCTGACGATGGACAAGGGGGACCTCCTGGGCACGTTCGGGCCCTTCTGGGAGCAGCTGTACAACAAGTACCGCGGAGGGGGGGACCAGATCTGAAACTCGCCAGCTCCACTCTCAACAACCTGCAAAACCCTGGTTCTACAAGGTGGTGGCTACGCTTTAAGCTGAGGGCATTGGTTTGGCAGAGTCATAACCTCCACAAATTGTTTGTTTGAAGGGAAATTGTGGGCTTTTCAAGCAAACTTACAAAAAATTCGGTCTGCGAAATCTAGTGCTGCAATTCACCGTGAAACCAAACGTGAAAGGACTTCAGATTTGTCATGCGGAGGTGTGGAATTTTCAGTCTCCACGGAAGTGCGGAGTTTGCAGTCTCCACACTTCAAACGTGGAGTTTCCCACGTTTGCACCATGCTAAGAGATAGGAGCTCTGCGATCTACACCACACTTGACGTGTAGAGACTGCAAACTCTGCACTTTCAAGTGTGGAGACTTACTCCACACCAGGAAGTGTGGAGTTGTCCACACTTGGTTTGACAGTGCCAACCCAATATGTATCCCCTTAAAAGCTAACTAGGTGTGGGATTGATGTGTTTGTGCGAAATACAGTGCGCAGTACAGAAATCGTTTTCAAATGCTAGAAAAGGGAATTGTCATTGCTTTAATTGTTGTGTGAAACCTGGATTTGTTTGTAGTACTATAGTTGTCGTCTATGGACTGTACTTAATGAATTTTAGTCAAATTAATTGCTTTAATGGCCCTCAGCAAGTTCAATAACAGCCGAATTTACATGGTGTTATAGTATATAATTGAAAGAAATTGGTCTGTAATTGCTGTAATACATGGTACTGGAATTGGTCTGTACACTACAAATCTATAGGCAGTACACACGGTGTGGCGAAGGAGGTAAAACGTGTACCGCTTTCGTATTGGCGGTAAAATCTGGAGCCCGCCAATTACGCACCCTACAAACCGAAGGAAAACGGCGGTACAGTGCATTACCGCCAATTGCGCGCTGTTTAGATGGTGCGTAAAAGGAGGTACAAAATATTACCGCCAGTAAAGTTCCCTCAGAGTGCCAAGAAAAAGGCGGTAAAGTTCTCGAAAGGAGGTACAATGGTTCTGTTAGGGCGGTAATTGATCCAGGAAGCGGAAGAAGGGGATAACTCAATTTTGGCCATTTTTCAGGAGAAACAAAAAACTGTTTGCAGGGAAAACTAAAACAAAACAAATGAATGTTGCACAAGTTAATAATTTCAAAAAGCATTAGTAAAATTTTGGAAAAAAAATCAAAAGTGTAAGGTCACTCCGTAGAGGATTTCTGCGACTTATCACTTTCCGTTGAAATGGAAAACAGAGTCAGCTCACCTTATATCTCCTAAAAAAAGAGGAATTTGGAGACAAGTCAAGTGGAACAATAGTCTGCATAAAGTGTATGTTACTCTGGTGTATTTTTTGGACTTAGCTCTTTTTTCCAAATTGAAATTTAAAATTTAGGGGGGGTTAAGTTGAGTTGATTCTTTTTACACTAGATTCATAAAAACACAAGTTGAGTTATATCCTTTTGCCAATTTGTCAAACGGACTCATGTAGACCAAGGTAGAGTTATCTCCATTTTCCAATGAAATTTAGACTGTTAAAGGGGTTAAGTTGAGTTATACCCTTTTTCCAAGTGGATTTTCTCCTAAATTGCTTGGAATTCAGTCAAATAATTTGGTGTAATGACGTAAACCATTCTAAGGCACAATAATAAAATAAAAACTCAATATGGGGATAAGTCAAGTTATTCCCTTCTTCCGCTTCCTGGATCAATTTCTGTACCGCCTTCGTATTGGCGGTAAAACGTGGACACCGCCAATACAAAATTACCGCCAGTAAAGGGTGGAAATATTACCGCCTTTAGATTTGGAGTGTAATGGCCGTAATAGTGAGGCTATACCCGTAATTAAAGCAATTGATGTAATCTGTGTAATATTTTTCAAAAGCCATTCATTATTCATACGTCGATCATATTAGGAAGCGAATACCCGTCAATCTTTCATTATCATCTATTACCTTTATGTGTCCTCTCTGTGGACTTTGTGGGCCACTCAAAGTTTGTGATATTATACTACTGGCATGAAATAAATATATTTTTCTTAATTTCCTCAAATCTGTGTCATTGACCTTGGGTTCTTAATTCCTACACCGGGGTTATGCGAGAGACTGGCCGCTTTCTTAGACCCACAAAAGACGAACCTCTCCTTTTTTCGAGTGTGAATACGCGCCTGCCTATTTATTCAGAAAAACCCCATTTGATTTTTAGACTAATATCTACGTCATTTTAGTGATAAAAACAGCCCATACTTACCTTGCAGAACCCACGTTTACTTTGACGCCTTAATTTTTCACATGCAGATTAAGGGGAGACTATACTGAAAAAATGGCCGTTTTCGGTCAAAAATGTGAAATTGGATTTTCACGAAAATACCTTGTTCAGACCTTTGTCTAGCCGGTACAGCCATTGTTCCTTCTCACAAAATATATTAAGAATCTTTAAAAGCCGACGGAAGGAACGCAGCGTCGCGTAGACCCACGCAAAGTGTACGTTTTCTCGTGTTTTTTCAAAATTTTAGTTTTAACGTTAAAAAAGTTCCTTGCGTCATAAATTTTCATCTACGTGGCTAAAATTTTTACCAGATGTTCCTTAAGCTGTTCCCCACAGGGTCTCTAAGCCGGATTTTTGAATTATGGTCAAAATTTTTTAATGTCACTAGAGAATGGTCAGTTTTTGGTCAATTTTAAGCAATTTTGACCATTTTTTTGTTTGTAAAAAAAGCGCGTATGAAAAAAAAGGTTTTGAGATCGAAAATAAAAAAAAAGCGGCTTAGAGAACCTGTAGAACAGGTCTTTAGGACAATAAAAACGATAAGTCGAATTTTCTGACATCACAAATACGACGCAAGGAAACTTTTTAGTGAACATATATTTTTAACTTTACCTTTGAATATCTCCTAAACCGTTTGGCCGAAAATTTTCATACTTCGGCTGAAATAGTTTTGAGTAATATTCTATCAAAAGAAAACAAGAGAAAATTTCTGCACTGGTAATCCTGGAAAAACCCATTTTCAGTATAGTCCCCCCTTAAATAAATACAGTTGAAAGGCAGCCTTCGGAAGATCATAGCGTCGGTATGTCCCGCTAAAGTTTAGCGGCTAAACTCGTTTACAGTTTTCAGGGATGCGACGTGCGTGCGCGTGCTCGACTGTGTAAGTAATCTATGGTGACAAGTCGGCCCCTCCAAAGAAAATCCCCTCACTCACCGGGGAGCTGGGAGACTATCTTAACTCTGACACGAATCCTTTTTTTCTTGGCAATGGTCGAAGTCCGGTAGCGCAAGTGTGTGTATCTCTGGTGTCGTAGAAACCGAGTATCAATCTAGACACGCCGCTGATCTAGAGTGGAGCGCGACATCATGCAGAGAGCCCACCGGCCAAGAAAGCTGTGTAAGGGCAACTGGCAGCGACAGTGGTTGTGAGAGAGGGTGTCGCGGTGCGGTGCGCTGACTTGTGTGTGCTGTGGCCGCCCAGGGGTAGGCGCCGGCGTGGTCCTCGCCCTGCTGGCAGGGGCCGCCGTGGGAGCCGGCGTCTTCTTCGCGCTGCAGGAGGCCCTGCCGGCCCCGAGGTAAGGCACTCCGCCCCGCAACCCAGACACATGTTTAGTGCGTCCATTGAGTTGAACTCCATGCGGTGCGCGCTTGGCACACACATAATGAGTGTCTAGAGTAACTTATTCACTCCAAGGTGCACCGAAATCTTTACATTGGTTGAGAAAATTGAACACTGTTAGAATTGAAGCGTTCTTTTACGCCTTCACTCTCATTCCAGGAACGTACGTGACAAAATGTCACGTTCGTTTGAGCATTGCGTCACACTCGTTTGGGTATGAATTGGTAAAAAATCAGCTAGTTCACATTCAAACGAATGTAACACAATGCTCAAACGAACGTGACATTTTGTCACGATGATGACATTTTGTCACGTTCGTTTCAACGTGATGTCACGTTCCTGGAATGGGAGCACTGAGAATGAAAGAGTCACCACCATCGCCCTTTCATTGGGTAACGCACGCACCGTTGCCCAAATTTGGGTGACGAGCCCGTGGTGACCAAATTTTGGGCAGTCATAAAATCGTCGCCCAAATTTGGGTAACGCCGTCGGCGACGCCGTAAGGTCCCCGATGACGCTCTTCCGGGGCCACCACGATGACCCAATGTGGCGTTGAGGCTGGCCATCGTGGTGGCCCCGGAAGCTGACGTCATCGGGAACCTCACGGCGTCGTCGACGTTGTTACCCAAATTTGGGCGACCAAACGCCCGTTACCCAATTCCGGGTGATGAATTTTCCGTCACCAAAATTTGGGCAACGAAGTTGCATCACCCATGCCTACGGGGCCACTTTCGTAGGTGACCATCTCCAATTTTGATGCAATTTGGGTCACTTATAGTACCCCCCAAGAAAGAATTTTGTGCAAAATCTCAGTCGGATCGGACGAAAACTTCCGGAGATATCGAGGTTTTTGTACATTTTCAAAAATCACCTAAAATCGATTTAGGAAAATGACATGATATTACGTTTTGCACCGTGCGATCGTTAATATTTGAGCTACAGCAAAAAAGAGGGGTTCGTCGGAAGCGCAAAAGAATGGGGAATGAGAATCTGTAATTGGATTTGAGATTCGAGTGCCCTACACTATTAAAATCTTGACAACTACAAAAAAACCCTAATTTTTTTTTGCCAAATGTTTAAGGCTCTGGGTAGCGTACACCCACATCCACAAAGACAAATCTGAATTGCGCAAAATGTAGCCCACACCTTCCACTTTCGATTGCTATGTTCAAAAAAGGTGGGTATGGGGGTCGTTTAGGCTGTGCAGCTTCTCGAAAGTGGAGATGCATAGTCGAAAAACGTTAAAAAAATTAGCTACTTTTTAGTCGAAGCCTTGCTGTTCTGCTATCCGATGTCTCTGTCTCATCAGTCATACATCATTTTAAGCGTCCTTTTTTCGTGATTCCAAAACTGCCCTTGGAAATGAGATACGATGCACCAGAAAGGCTGTGGATCCGATTTAGTGAAATCACACCACTTTCTTAAATAATATATATCCTGAAAAAATGGTCATTTTCAACGGTATAAAAAGGACTGTTGGACAACTCGTATCAAAGCTCCCGAGGCGTCATTCTACTCAGAAAAATGTCCTCTTTCGATAGAAAAAATAAAAAGTTTGGGTATTTGCATCCTTCACCTACTAAATTCGGTTTTATTGAAAAAAGAGCACTTTTGGAGGAGTCGGCTTGGGTCGGACTGAGCTCCAGCCAACAGATTGCGTACTGCGAGTTCGCCCTGGGCCAACAGGACATGCAACCGGTTTGTGTTTCGGAAAACATTGATTAACCGCCGTCTTGCACCCTTTGGAACCACCCCGCCCCGCCCAACCCCACCCCGCCCCGGGCGCGGGGCTCTCTCTCTTTGCCAGGCTTGAGCGCCTGTGGAGCAGAGGGTAGGCAACCCTGCACGACAGGCGCGTCGAAGGGGTTGCCTGCAGTCGCCTCCGGCCAGTCTGGGGCGGCAGGGCGGGGGAACGGGGAGGGGGAAGGAGTACATGATGGGAGAAGGGAGAGTCACCTGTTCGGGTCGTCGGCTTCGTTGTTTACAAGTGTTGCATTGTGTGCACTTTTCGTTCTGGCGTCTGGTCTTGCTGTGTGGTCTTGTTCAAGTATGGATCCGATTGGTGAACGTGCGTTGCCCTTTTCTCCTCCTTTTTACGGTCGACAAGTGTCTGTCGTTCAAAGGGTTCGTTTGAATTTGAGTTGTTTCTGTGACAGGTAGCAGTCGTAGGAAGTGTTGTTATCCTTACGGCCAACACAGAGCCAACAAAAAGGCTTCAGGTCTACACCCAGCTGGTGGAGCTGTTGGCTGGAGCTCAGTCCGACCCAAGCCGACTCCTCCAAAAGTGCTCTTTTTTCAATAAAACCGAATTTAGTAGGTGAAGGATGCAAATACCCAAACTTTTTATTTTTTCTATCGAAAGAGGACATTTTTCTGAGTAGAATGACGCCTCAGGAGCTTTGATACGAGTCGTCCAACAGTCCTTTTTATACCGTTGAAAATGACCATTTTTTCAGGATATATATTATTTAAGAAAGTGGTGTGATTTCACTCAATCGGATCCACGGCCTTTCTGGTGCATCGTATCTCATTTCCAAGGGCAGTTTTGGAATCACGAAAAAAAGACGCTTAAAATGATGTATGACTGATGAGACAGAGACATCGGATAGCAGAACAGCAAGGCTTCGACTAAAAAGTAGCTAATTTTTTTAACGTTTTTCGACTGTGCATCTCCACTTTCGAGAAGCTGCACAGCCTAAACGACCCCCATACCCACCTTTTTTGGCCCGCCCTTCTATTCAAAAAATAGGGGGAGGGCCTATGCATTTGCCTTTGTGTCTGTGTGTTGTTGTTGTTGTTGGCGTCTGTGTACAAGGAAGGAGTTGAGCTAGAGTAACCGGATTTGGAGGGTACTTCAGGAGTACCGTTCAAACAAATAATCCGGTGGTGCAAATCCCGTCCGGGTCGCACAAGGGCTGCTGCAGGTGCATCATGGTTTACATGAGCGGGAGGGGGATTTCCGCCATTATTGGTGCTAGCAGGGCACATAGGGGTATTTTTGGAATCGGGGCGACGAGACAAGACGAATGGACCTGGTCCCGACCCCATCGGCCGCTTTTACAAGTTGGCCAGATCAGGATCTTCAAAAAAAGGGGGGCGACCGACTAAAAAAATTTTGCAGATTTCGATTGGTCTCAGCAAGACCTTTTCAACGGGGGGTCGGAAAGGAGGTCCAGGAGCCCGACTTCGTCTATTAGTCACATCAGGATCTTGAAAAAAGGGGGTCGACCGACTGAAAATTTTTACTTAAGTTTTGGATAGGTTTTGGCAAGACCTCTTCAACGAGGGGTCGGAAGGGGGGTCCAGGAGCCCGCCTTCATGAGTTATGGGAAAAAGTGCGACGGACTCGTTTTGCGCTCCTGCTGTGCCTCTATTGCAAGGAGTTGCAGTAGCATGGTAAATATGGGTATTTTCGGAATGAGGGCGAAGAGACAAATGAAATGGGCATATTCTAAGGACAGTTGGAGTAAAAAGTGTAGGGACTATTGCATATTGTGAATAGAAGGGCGGACCTAAGTCACGATGGTACATCGATAACTTTGCTTTACCCGCTCACGGTGTGTGATGCGAGCGGGCCGAAGGCCCGGGCCTTCGACTGGCCAAGTTGGTTCTGATGCGAGGGCCGAAGGCCCGAGAAAAGGCCGCCGGCAGGCCAAGCTGGGCCGGCCCCCTGTCGAACCGAGTTGCCGGCGCAGCGAAGCGGAGCTGGCAACTCGGTTCGACGGAAGGGCGGGCCCTAGCTTGTTGAACATAGCAATCGAAAGTGGAAGGTTTGGGCTACATTTTGCGCAATTCAGATTTGTCTTTGTGGATGTGGGTGTACGCTACCCAGAGCCTTAAACATTTGGCAAAAAAAAATTAGGGTTTTTTTGTAGTTGTCAAGATTTTAATAGTGTAGGGCACTCGAATCTCAAATCCAATTACAGATTCTCATTCCCCATTCTTTTGCGCTTCCGACGAACCCCTCTTTTTTGCTGTAGCTCAAATATTAACGATCGCACGGTGCAAAACGTAATATCATGTCATTTTCCTAAATCGATTTTAGGTGATTTTTGAAAATGTACAAAAACCTCGATATCTCCGGAAGTTTTCGTCCGATCCGTCTGAGATTTTGCACAAAATTCTTTCTTGGGGGGTACTATAAGTGACCCAAATTGCATCAAAATCGGAGATGGTCACCTACGAATGTGGCCCCGTAGGCATGGAATGCCCCCCATTTAAAGGGTGATGGTGGTGATCAATTCATTCTCAGTGAGTGTTTCTTCAAGCGTAGTAGTTGTTGCGGTCGACTTTAAGCACAGTTTTCCGTTCCGCCATTCTCCCGCCTACCTAAATGCATAGGAGGATTTCTTCTCTACGCTTGGCATCAGGCGTAATTATGCTTGAATGAAGCGTTCGACTGCACTCCAGTTTTACCCGTGAATTTGTCGAAACTTTGTCAGCTTCAAGGAGAGCGAGAAGAAGAGCACCTTGTTAGCCCAGCAGTAATCTTTGAAGTGCCGCTGCCCCTTATCTTTTGGAGCGAAATGACGTAGGTTGAAAAAAATTCCCACCGCGTATTGAGCTAATTGGGACTTTAAGGTCACTAGCCGACGATTATTGTACGACATTGAGTTGAGTGGCGAGTTCACATTGTTATGCGTGAAACTAAGGACAAATCTGTACGCAAACAGCAAACAAATTCGACCTTCGTCTATGTCAGTGGCATGCACTGCAGGGAAGGCAAAGTACGTTTCCTAACATTTTTATATCCTTCCAGGTTTTTTAAAAATGTTTTTGTGCCCTTTCCCCTTATTTTCAAGTCTATGTATTGAGTAAAAAAGGCAGCAAAATCATGGACAAATTTCCGTATTCAAAATTTATCTATTTTAGAACAGTAATAACAGGGAAAATTGCGATACCTATCAGCAACTATGGCAAATCCCCTACATTTCAGAATCAGTAACCGTTGTTTTAGTTTCACTTAACGAGTATTTCAACCTTGGGGTCAAACCAGACCATCAGGACCCCCCCAAAATACCTAGAACACTGTCGAACAATAATTTTTGATCGTATTTGACCCTAACGGGATTTTAACCGGCGTCAAAACGGCCGTCTTTTTTGCTTGGAGGATGACAAATTTTACATTTTCAGCTCGGATCAATGCCCCGCGCCACGAGTCAGGATCGAGTCCGGCGAGCTCTTGGGGCTGTGCAGGGCTGCCAACCCGCAGACAGGGATTCCCCAGTACGCGGCCTTCCTCGGTGTGCCCTACGCCAAGCCACCCCTCGGGGAGTTGAGGTTCAAGGTACGTTCCCTCCGCTCATATAGGGAGCGGAAAGAGGCCAAGAGCAGGTTTATTTAAGAAAAGCAGAGCCTTACGATGACCCCTTTGGATTTCGCTGATTATTTGGTGGTTAGCAGTCCTCTATGGTGGGAGGGACAAAATTTCAGAGCTCTAAAAATTCCCTGTGGGAGATATGGGGATATTAAGTTCCTTAGTTGGCGCATTTTCACACTAATTTTGGGCATTTCTCAGGGTCTTTTTGTCTAGATTTTTATCTAGGTATAGATTTGGGTTCTAGCTTCAAAATTGAGCGAGGAACTCAATCGTGCCGTCAGATTCAACTTCAAAATATTTTCATGGAAAAAATTTGCTTTTTCTCGATAAAATCATCAAGAAACAAATCTTGGGACTTTTCAGTGTTTGTTCTCTGACTGAATACGACGTACCGAAGAATGTGGCACGATTCGCGTTCCAACGACCGTGACGTCACATTATTTTATCTCACTTAAAACCGGCAGGAAATTTCCTGTTCATAATATCAGTGGCAATGATGGTTTCGGTCGGTAAATATCATTCGCTGTGACTCTTTTCCGTCCCAACCAGGCGCCGCGTCCGGTGGAGCAGTGGCCGGGCGTCCGCGAGGCCGTGCGCTTCGACCAACGGTGCATCCAGGGCAGTGCGGAGGCACAGTCCGGCTCGGAGGACTGCCTGCACGCCAACGTGTACTCGCCCTGGCTGCAGAGGCCCCAGAATGAGGTACAACTAATACCCCAGTCTAATTGGCGAGCGATAGCGAGCCCTTGCCGTGTTTGGGCGCTCCAAAAAGTGACTGGTCGTGCGTCTGTCCCTCTGTGAGTCTGTAGCGTACACGCTCACGTTTTTCAGCAACTACGACACTAATAGTTTCCAAATTTCGCACCGAACATCTCCTAAAGCTCCCACAGGGGGAGTTTATCTTATATTCACGATTACTACCGTTTGAAATATTCAAAACATCTTTTTGAATTAGGTTCTTAGCGTGGTTAGGTTGGCAGCATTTTTCATACTTGCGGCCGCGGCTCTCAAATACGGGCTGGCAAAACATTGGCAAGTAAAACAAAATAGAGAGCAGAAGGGCTTAGAAGTGAGTTCGGTCATAGTTTTTCGATATTCTAGAATGGTTGAAACCCCTCCGGAGTGTCAACACAGTGAAATACGGAAAATGAAAGTGACAATTATTACGCGTTTCGTCCGTCCGTCCGCCCCCTCCCCTCCCCCGCTACAGGGGAAATGTTTTAGTCAGTGGAGTGTGTTTGATAATTGCAAGAATGATTTGGTCTTTGTAAGCTTTGAGCAGCTTTGAGAGTGTATTTCCATTTTTATTCTCAGACATCATACTTTTTAGTTGTTTGCTTTGCTCAATAACAGTTAGAAAATAGATGAATATAATCTAAAAGTACAAACCAGACAAATCTTGCCAGAATAAAAAGTCTTTGCTGACTCTGGGAAAAGGCTTCATTGCAATGCTGTAAGTTTACTATAGTACTAACCTTAAAGATAACTATATGGTGAGTGAGTGTAGCGCATACAAGGTTTGACATTGACATCTGATTCAATGAGACGATTCAGTGACTTGGTCATATGATTTCATGAGACGATTCTTTTAACTTCATCATGTATTGTCTGCGACAACTGGTAATTTGTGTCGGTCATGGATTGAGTTTTTAATTTACTTAGAATGTTAGGTAAATACTTATCCTATACTGTTTCAAAAATTAAATATCACATCATGACTATCATTTTGAATAAGATTAACTGTCGATTAGCAATAAGTGGGCTCGACATTGGATTCCATGAAACGATTCATTGGTTCTGAAAGAAGGTCTTCTCCCTGGTCTTCTCCTTAAAGTAGTTGCAATCAGCCTGCCTGTAAATGTGTCTCTTTTTAATTAATTGAGATAAATCAACATAGTTTCATCCACTAGTTTAAAATATAAGGGAGATAAAAGGCTTTTTAGGTATTATAAATAACATTGCGTGTTCATAAGTTTAATAACGAGGAGATATCGAATGGTAATTGAAGCATTTGTGAATCGTACTAAGCAATTCAATGCTGACTGTTGAATGTTACTCGACTGAGTAACAGTGTCAGGGTTCATGTTACGACACCATGAACAAGATACACACTTAGAAATTGCGTTCATGTTAACAACTGCAGACCCATACTTTCAACTAGAATTATATGATTTTGGACCAAAATTTCCCCAGTGAGTCAGTCATTGTTTCCTGCAGTATTTGGTGTGCTGATCACAAAAATGACTTTATTTTCACCCCAGACCTTACTTTTCCAAATATTTACCAATTTCGGACCAAAATTTTTTAAATCGAGTTTTTCATAGTTTCCTGCAGTTTTTGGTGTGCTGATCACGAAAATGACATCCAATTTCATCCCAGACCTTTACTTTTCCCAAAATTTACCAATTTCGGACCAAAATTTTGAAGTTGAGTTTTACATAGTTTCTTGCAGTTTTAGGTGTGCTGATCACGAAAATGACATCCAATTTCATCCCAGACCTTCACTTTTCCCAAAATTTACCAATTTCGGACCAAAATTTTGAAGTTGAGTTTGACATAGTTTCCTGCAGTTTTTGGTGTGCTGATCACGAAAATGACATCCAATTTCATCCCAGACCTTTACTTTTCCCGAAATTTATCAATTTGTGACCAAAATTTCAAAGTTGAGTTTCCCATTGTTTCCTGCAGTTTTCAGTAAGATAATCACGAAAATGACATGAATTCCGGCCCTTTCGTCACGGAAGACACTGTATTGGCCTTATTCTGCACATATTCTTCGCCATCTCCTATAAGAATGTGTTCAGACGCATCGCTCGCCTACTACGCGCCCAAACTAAACGGCGCGTACCCCTAGTTTAACCCCAACTAATTTGCTTTGTTATACGAAGATATAGTTCGTAAATGATCCAGGAAGCGGAAGAAGGGGATAACTCAATTTTGGCCATTTTCCAGGAGAAACCAAAAACTGTTTGGAGGGAAAACTAAAACAAAACAAATGAATGTTGCACATGTTAATAATTTCAAAAAGCATTAGTAAAATTTTGGAAACAAAATCAAAAGTGTAAGGTCACTCCGTAGAGGATTTCTGCGACTTATCGCTTTCCGTTGAAATGGAATACAGAGTCAGCTCACCTTATATTTCCTAAACAAAGAGGAATTTGGAGACAAGTCAAGTGGAACAATAGTCTGCATAAAGTGTTTGTTACTCTGGGGGCAAACCAGGGCCAATCAGCAGGTCCCAAAATGGACCATTGACGATTTGGCCCATTTTTGGCTCAAATGTTACCTACCCATAGGTAAACATCGGGGTAAAATTTCAGCCACCTAGGTGTCGTTTCATAGGAGTTATGGGCAATCTTAGTTTTTGACTTTTTTTCTTAAGTGGTTTTTGACCAAATTGCTACAATTTCCAAAAATCCCTCCCAAGTCTACAGTTTTGCCCCTAGTTGGCTGTAAACCCGTTCTCCAACGTAAAATTGCATGAGAAATTCGATTTCAGGGCCCAAACGGACCCCTGGGCAGTCTATCATAGAGAAAAACGCCAATTTTGACGAAAAATCACTTTTTTAAAGGTTTTACGTCGGTGCGTTTTAAAGCTAGACCCGAATCCAAACTTGGTCAACTCTATGCGGGAAATCGTACCTCATACTACCACCTAAAATAGCACGGCTCGACATTTGGGTGGTATGGGTATGGTTTGGGCGCTGCAGCCTTGGGAACTTTTAAATTATGAAAAACTAGCAAATTCCTCCTTACGGCGAGGTCAACCCTCCTGCATTGGCTGTTTCGGGTTCAACTGAGGCCCCGCGGTAAGATTTAAGTTAGAAAGGTCCTTCTTACCCCTCACTACCATCACTGACCCTCTGAGAAGCGCACTGAGGTCACTTTTGGGTCCATGGCTGCAGCCAAAATGACAGAATTGACGAAACGCCTGAAGGGTACACGGTGAAACCGATGTCTGGAAATTTCCAGACATTTTTTCCCATTTCCAGACATTGTCTGGAAATGGCCGTTTTTTTCCAGACAATGTCTGGAAATGTCTACTTTTTCCAGATAATGTCTGGAAATGGTCAAATCCCAGATATATATCTGGAAAAAAAACGGCATTTCCAGACAATGTCTGGAAATAACATTTTCCAGATAATATCTGGAAATTTCCCAGATAATGTCTGGAAACAAAGGCCTTGACGCCGAGGTCCACGGATTTGCGACCTGGGGGTCCTTGATGGTGTCCTCGAGGTCCCCAGGACACGAGGAGTCCAACGCCGAGGTCGCCGACGCTCTAGGACAAGCGGTTCCGGAGATACGAGGACGTACCACAAGGAGTCCGTCAAAGCAACTTTTTAGTTGGAGGCCAAAATCATCATCGGCCTCTGGCTGCGTTCCACTTGGGTGTCCGGGACTTTTGACTTCAGCATCGTGTTAAGGTAGTGCTAGACTACCAGGAACCCGTCAGAGGTCGCCGTCGGACCACCGGTGCGCCCAGGATGCCGACGAACGTGGCTGCTGTGCCGCCACACGGTTCAACACCGTTGTCGCCACCACCCAGGTGGTCCCCGATGGTGTCCTCGAGGTCCCCAGGACACGGGGAGTCCAACGCCGAGGTCGCCGACGCTCTAGGACAAGCGGTTCCGGAGATACGAGGACGTACCACAAGGAGTCCGTCAAAGCAACTTTTTAGTTGGAGGCCAAAATCATCATCGGCCTCTGGCTGCGTTCCACTTGGGTGTCCGGGACTTTTGACTTCAGCATCGTGTTAAGGTAGTGCTAGACTACCAGGAACCCGTCAGAGGTCGCCGTCGGACCACCGGTGCGCCCAGGATGCCGACGAACGTGAGGCGCGCCGGAGCGCCGTGGCGTGCCGGGTGCCTAAACGATCGCCGCCACCGCTGCGGCCGCTGCCGCTGCGGCCGCTGCCGCCGCGGCCGCTGCCGCCGCGGCCGCTGCCGCCGGGTCCTCCGCACCAACCGCGAGCTTGGACGACGGAGGCCGACGCCGTTGGCACCGACGCCGCCGACGTGTACGTCGACGCCACCACGTGCTTAGTCGGCCGTTAGTGTGTTCTAACGGCCGCTTCTGCCTCTGGCTGCGTTCCACTTGGGTGTCCGGGACTTTTGACTTAAACACTGCGTTAGGGTGCCCCTGGGCTACCAATCAGGGGTCGCCGTCGGACTACCGGTGCGCCGAGGGTGCCGACGAACGTGGCGGGCAAGGTGCCTGAACGATCGTGTCGCCCCCGCCGCCGCCGTGTCCTACGTCGCGACCAACAGCTTGGACGACGGGGGCCGACGCCACCGACGTGTCTGTCAACGCCACCACGGCCAGGGCCGACGACGCTGCCGCGTGCCCGGACGGCTGATGCCGCCGGCGTGTCCTGCGTCGCCACCGTGTGCTTGGACGGCCAGAGACGACGCCGTCGGCACCGACGCGGAGTGCCCTGACGGCCGACGCCGCCGCCGTGTGCTCGAACGGCCGAGCAGCCGGAGGCCAATGCCAGAGGCCAATGTGGTGGCGTCGACGTACACGTCGGCGGCGTCGGTGCCAACGGCGTCGGCCTCCGTCGTCCAAGCACGCGGTTGGTGCGGAGGACCCGGCGGCAGCGGCCGCAGCGGTGGCGACGATCGTTTAGGCACCCGGCACGCCACGGCGCTCCGGCGTGCCTCACGTTCGTCG